CATGGAAGGCTGATTGATTGAGATTGAGAACAGCAGCACAACTGTTGGTCTCCCCCCTGATGGATTCCCCCCTAAAATGTTCAATTTATTTCTTCAATGATTGGTTTTGACAAGATGGACCTAATGAATTGTACACTTAGAGCACTTACGCATTAAATAATTTCTTGCAAAATATATATTTCAATTTTATAAAATAAATTAAAGAAAGTAACCGGTGTGTGTGTTATAAGGCCTTTCATGTTTCCATCATGAGGACATCACAAACTTCCTCACGGGATATACTGTAAAGTGTAATTATTTTTGTTGGGGAGTGCAGCAGCCAATTTACGCACAACAATGTCCCCCAAAAAAGCCATGAAATGGCTAATCAAATTTTATCTGGGAGATTGTTGGCCAAAACATTAGGAGAAATTCCCATCTCTTCTCAAATACTGCCATGAGATCAGACATACATGACTTCAGTTTAAAGTCTCATCTGAAGGTCAACACATCCAGCAATTGAGCACTCCCACATCACTGCATTTGAGTGTCACTAAAAACTAGTGAGTTAGTTCAAAGTCCTAAAGCTGTACTGGAACCCAGAGCTTTCTGACTCAGAGGTGAGAGTACTAGCAACTGAGCCAGGCTGACACTTATAGAGGGACCGTGATCATAATGAATTGTATCTTACCACTAGGAAGTTTTTTACATTATTTAGTCTATCTATTATTTTAAGAATTCATAGAAAAATTATAACAATATTGGAAAGCATCTCCTGCAACATGAACAGTTAAATGAAGATTGATCCTGCCAACAAAAGAACGTCTCAATGAAATGCCAATATAGCTTTAAAACTAAGCACATGCACACTTAGGTACAGAAAGTTTGATGGCCTGAAAATATACTGCAAACATCAAATGCATTACAAGAATACCTATTTGAGCTCACAGTCCAGTCTGACCCTTTAGTGCAGTGATGATGGAGCTCTGTAAGTCACAGGTGCTGTCCTTCAGAGAAATCAAATTCTTGTTAAATCAAGTTCCATCTGCCTGATCAGGTGGGCATTAACAATCCCATGGCCAATAATATCCCAGATAAAATTGATCATTTACTTCATGGCTGCTTGTGGTGCACTGGAGTCCTGTAGCTTAGTGGCTAGAGTAACCGCCTCGCAAGCGAGAGGACCTGGGTTTGATTCTTGGTAGGGCAAAATGTTGGGCAAGTTTTCTTACTCCGCACACCTCTGTTTACCTAGCAGTAAAATAGGAACCCAATTGTTAGTCGATTTGTGGATCGCTTTTCCGGGGGTAATAATCCCGTCAAAATTTTTTTTTAAAAATGAATACTTTGGTCACTCAATCCATGACTGTTTGTGGGACACTGCTGTGTGCAATTGGCTGCTGCAATTCACCCACATAATATACAGTCAATTCACTTTACAACATATTCTGTGAAGCGCTCTGAGACGTCTCGAAGACCTGATCAGGCACTACATCAAATGCAAGGATTAGTAATAGTGGTATTATTAACATGTGTAAATTGGCTGTGGGGTTTGCTTATAAAAACAGTCACTACATTTTACAGTAAAATCCTCTGAAGCATGAATCGCTCTGAGACATTTCAATGAAATGAAAAGGCGTTATATCAAATGCAGGGATTATATATTTGAAACTGCATATTACATTAATTTAAAGGGTTCACACTGCCAGGTATCTTTCCTGGAATTGCGGTGCAAATCAGATTTGGTGCCAACACATCTTGAGTTTCACAAAAGAGCTGGACAGTATCTGTGAGTATCAAAAATTAAACAAAATATTGTTGAAACGTTTCATGATTGTGGATCATATATTTACAGAAATGAAAATATGAAAACCTTTATTAAGTAAAAACGGATGTGTGACAGCTTGGCTCAGTGGGTAGGAGTCTCACCTCTGAGCCAGAAGGTTGTGAGTCCAAGCCCCACGTCAGGACTCCCCGCCCTTCTCCACCCCCCCCCCTCGAATCCAGCTCAGGTCTGAAATGCTGTACACTGTCCAGTGCCTTGGGACATCCTCCCGATGTGAAAGGCGCTATACAAATGTAATCTTGTTGTTATTGGTACTCATATAGTCTAGGCTGACTCTCCAGTTCAGTGCCAGGGGCATTCTACATTGTAAGAAGTGCCATCCTTCAGATGAGACATTAAACCCACATGCCATCTTCCTGCCTGTTCAGATGGATGATAAAGATGCTATGGCACTATTCAAAAAGAGAAGTGAGTTTCTCTTGGTGTCCTGACCAACAATCTCCCAGATATAATTGGTCTTAACATTGGACTACATTGAAACTGTGAAACTGCATTACTGTTTCAATACTTTACTGCTTATTCAAGAGACATTGCCTTCAGCCTCTCCACCCCCACCCTCTGGAACTCCATGCCGGATTCTGTTTGCTTTGCTCACTCCCTCGCCTCCTTCAAGGCTCGCCTGAAGACCCTCCTCTTCAACTATTCATTCGGCCAGCCTCCTATCCTCTTTGCCCTCCACCCTCCCTAATCCCACCACCACCCCCCAAACTCAGGTCCTAATACCTAACTGTTCAGCGCCTTGGGACGTTCTCCCGAAGTGAAAGGTGCTTTACAAATACAATTTTGTATTGTATTGCTGTGCACATATTGGCTACTGCATTTGCTTACAAAATACACAGTATTTACAGTATATCGTGTAAAGTGCTTTGAAATGTCCTTCCAATGTGAAAGCACAATATTAAAGGCATGGATTATTTTTTATTACATTGAGTCCCGTGCGAAGAGATAAATGTTTGAAATAATCTACCAAGGAAAACATCGGGGTCTGTTTTGCAAAATGCTACCAAATATCATGCTAGGAAAATTTATGTATTGGAGGGAAACACTTCTTTGGATTCAATGGTCTCTCCTTATCTCTAACATTTGTTATGTGATAGTTTATGGGTGAAAAGTTTTATGTTTCATAATACCTATGATAATTATATTGTCAAACATGTTATCTTCTGCCCGGCGTCACCAGAATAGTTGGGCCTAAAAATGTCTGCGCTTGATTATTGCTCCCGATCGCAGAGATAATAATAATCCTTGCATTTGATACAGTGCATTATCAGATTATTGAAAAGTCTCAAAGCACTACACAGGATTTTACTGTAAAGTATAGTGACTGTGTATTTATTAACAAGTGTTGGCCAGTTTGCTCCCAACAACATCCAACAAACAGCAACAACAAAATTACATTTGTAAAGCGCTTTTCACGTCGGGAGGACGTCCCAAGGCGCTGGACAGACCGAGTTACGGAACTGACCTGGGGGTCGGGGTGGGGGAGGATGGAGGCCGGGGGGGGAAGCAGGGAGATCGAAAGCGCGGTCGAAGTGGAGTGTCTTGAGACAGGTTTTGAAGATGGCGAGGGAGGGGGGAGGCGGAGGAACTGCAGAATGGAGTTCCAGAGGGTGGGGGCAGAGTGATGGAAGGCCGGCCCACCAATGGTGGGGCTAGCAAGGCGAGGGACGTGAAGCAGACCATGAAATAGTTATGAAGTTGAATGACCAATTTTAGCTAGAAGTTTGTTTGCCAATGGGAACAAAAACTCTTCAAATATTGCCATGGGATATTTAACATCCACCTGAATAGATCGACAGGTACTCAGTTATTTAATGTCTTATCCGAAGAACGGCACCTCAAACAATGCATTGCATTGGAGTGTCTGCCGAGACTTTGAGCTCAAAGTCCTGAAGTGGGGCTTGAACCCACAACCTTCTGACCCAGAGGCGAACATGCTACCCACTGAGTGCGACTGACAAACACAGCCAGATCGAGTCAGATTGGCATTTTAATGCAATTAAAAACTGGATTCCGGCTTAACTCAGTTGGTGTCCTGTGAAGCAATGTTTCGACATAAGCTCAACAATTCAGATCAGCTAAACAGCATCCAAATAACAGCAAAAACATTTTCAAAAACCAGTTCACTCGCACAGCCCGCCGTTGGGAATGGATGGAAAATACGACAGTTCTATTTGGGACATTTTTTTAGGAACTGTCACTTTTTTCACCCGGTGCTTCATATCTGACCACATTCCCAATCTGTACTCTCGATGACCGTGTGCCAACGCGTACAATCCTCATCTGTTCCTCGGTTGAGGCACCGTCCTACGGATGACCCATTAAACTGAGGTCTCAACTGCCTGCTCAGGTGGGCATTAAAGCTTCCGTGGCACGATTCGAAAAGAGCAGGGAATTTCTCGCAGTGTCCTGGCCGACAATCCCGCAAAACAAAATCGGTCACTCACTCACTCTGCGGCGGTTTGCGGGGCATCGCGGTGTGTGCAAACTGACCGTTGCGTTCCACCCGCAAAATATACAGTAAATGCACTTTGCAATATATTCTATAGTACGTGGAGTCCTGTAGCTCAGTGGTTAGAGCACTTGCTTTGCAAGCGAGACACCTGGGTTCAATTCCAGGCAGAGGGCGAAACCTTGGGCAAGTTTCCTTACTCCACACAGAGCCTAATAATAATCCCTCCAAAACCCCTAACAATAATAAATTGGTCATTTTCAATCTACGACTGTTTGTGGGACATTGCTGTGCGCAATTGGCTGCCGCGTTCGCCCACAAATATACAGTCAATTCACTTTACAGTATATTCTGTGAAGCGCTTTGGGACGTCCTCCCGACGTGAAAAGCGCTATATCAAATGCAAGGATTATTATTATTATTACAGCACGCGGTAACCACCGACGACACGGTTAACCCGAGCCCTGGCCGCAGAGCTTCAACTTGTTATATGGAGAGTTAGTTGGTAGTTAACAGCTACAGGAGAAGCGTTGGAAAGCCATCATTCACAGCAAGTGTATTTATGGCTGACCCTTAAATCACTGCCCGTCAGATACATTGATTGGACACAGTAGGGGGAGGACGGCCGCTTTGCATTAGCTTAGCCAGACCGAGGGGGGGGTGTGCACACACACACACACACACAACCATCATCATCTCTCACAAACCCAACCGACCGTGTCCACACAGTCAGGGTTTCCGAGGGCAACGGAGGGAGGGAGAGAGAGAGGGAGAGAGGGGGAGGGAGAGAGAGGGAGAGGGAGAGGGAGGGCCATCACGTCAAAGGGTTGGTTTTGCAGAGCTCCGGCAGTGCAGTGCAGTGCACACACTGTAGGTTTGTGTGGAAGAGACCTCTGGAGCAGCTCTGGGTGAGGAAGGTAAGGTGCTGCTGTCTGACTGCTGCTCGTGTGTCAGTTTCCTACAAGGATCAGTCGCTGCTCCATTCACATCCCCCCAAACATCTCGGTCCTGCGTGTACTCTCTCTCTCTCCTCTCTCTCCTTTCTCTCCCTCCCTCCCTCCCTCCCTCCATCTCTCTCTCTCTCTCTCCCTCTCTCGGTGGGTATCTCTTCTGTGTGTTGGTTTGTGTGCTTTCTCCTCCCCAAAGGCATTGCCCTGGAACATGAGGCTGCAGAGGGGAGGAGGAGAGTGGGGGAACACAGGGATCTCAATAGTTTTAATTCATTGCCCCCCCACTCCCCCCCCCCCCCAACCCCCTCCCCCTTCCTCACTTTTCCCCCCTTTGGAAAACCAGGAGCTCTTTGCTCAAAGCGTTTTCCAACCTTCCCCCTCTCTCTCTCTCTCTCTCTCTCTAAAATATACAAGAAAGTGGACTTTAGCGCAGAACAGAAGTTCGGACACTTTTAATTGTTTTTGCAAACTTTTTTGTTTCACGATGTGCAGATGAGGGACGTGGGTTATTGGGGAGGAGGGGAGGAGGAGGGGGAGGAGGGGGAGGGGGGAGACTGTTATCCTGTGCAATGCTGCGTTGTCCTTAAGATCCCTTAAGAAGTGATGAAAAACTCTTGAGAGCTGAGGTTTAACCAGATTTTTATTTTGTGGAGCATTTTCTCTCTCTCTCTCTCTCTCTCCTTTTCTCCCCTTTCTCTCTCTTTCTCCCTTTTCTCTCTCTTCCTTTCTCTCCCTTTCTCTTACCTCTCTCTCCTTCTCTCCCTTTCTCTTTCCTCTCTCTCCTTCTCTCCCTTTCTCTTTCCTCTCTCTCCTTCTCTCCCTTTCTCTTTCCTCTCTCTTTCTCCCTCTCTCTCTGCAAACCCACAGTGTATTTGGACCCGCAGTGCATATATGTCTCCCTCTTCGTGAAAAGCATCATTTTTCTTTCCTCTCCTGATCTCAGTCACGTTGATTATTTGTGCAAGTTGGGAAAAAAAGAACACTTCGCCTCTCGAGTCCAACACACACAGACGTGTTATTTCATTGCCAGGCGATTGCAATTTACATGAGACCCCCCAACCCCCCCAAAAAAAAAACAGTGGGTGGAAAAAAAATACTGCCTTTGAAACAGAATTCGCTACGGATGCGTATAATGCGCGTTTCACAAGGAAACCCCGACAGCGAGTGATCGCTCGAGTGCGTCCACCAGGAAACTTACCAGGTCACTTTTGTGGCTTTTTTCCACTTTGCTCAGAGTTTCCCCCCCCTCCCCCATTTGCTCCCAGTTTTTTTTTAGGGGCGAAGGCGAAAAAGTTTGGGTGGAAATGAGGTCGAATGCAAACGGTGGCAACTTAAACGTGTAGCTCCTGGGAATTATGGTGTGTGTATGGTGGGGGGTTGGGGATGGGGTGGGGGGGGGGGGGGGGTGTTCATTTCTATTTAAATGCCTGGATCACTTTGCACTCAAACCCCATCGGTTTATTCCAACGAAGAGATGGACAGAAGGGCGATCAGTTGCAGAGTGTGTGTGTGTGTCTCTCAGTAACGTGCAGCTTTGGTTTGCTCTTTAAGCAACTTCGTAACGTGCAGCTTATTGCAGTAACCTGCACAGCAAACATCTGGCCAGAGAGAGAGAGAGAGAGTGTGAGTGAGTGAAGGGGGTCCGGGGGGGGGGGGGGGGACTTGCATGTGTTTTGAGAGATTGGAATTGTTTGCAACCAACCACTTTTATGTTTAATTAGATTTAGACTCAGTTCCCAGACTTGAATCCATTGTCCCAACGTGGAGACACTTCAGCCTTCATGTGAACTCTTGCATTTTCCCTTTTTTTAAAAAAAATAGAAATCAGAGACCCCCTCCCTCCCCCCAATCCCCCCCCCCACCACCCCCACCCCCCCCAATCTGTTTGCCCACAAGTTGTCCCCCCAGGGTTGAGTCTTGTTGCCCTGTGTGCAGCAGGTACCTGGTGATGGGGGTGAGGGGACAGCAGACACATGCTGTGGGTGAGGCAGCTCCAGAACTGTCGCACAATAAACCCTGGCAACACAAAGCCCTCTTTTGTGTGTATTTCCCAGTTGTGAGCACTAAACACATGTAAATCCCTGTAACACATTCTACACTGCAGCAGCGCCCGATCAAACCCAATTGCACGTCTATGGGTTTAAAGCAAATAAGGGGACTGACTGACTGACTGTTGCAAGGAAACAGGACTGTGTACGAGAGAGATTGTTTGTAAATTTCACGCACAAGAGGCTCCAAGGCTTGTCCATGGGAACTGCCCTCTTTTGACTTAAAGTGTCACCAAGAAGGGTGTAAAAGAGTGACACACACCCGCAAGGTACTGGGAGACAGAGAGAGGGGGTCGCCCTGAAGTTTTGATGAGCGTGAGAAGTTTACAGGCGATTCCTGGCAGCAGCACTTAACAGTGGGAAGGGAAACCCCAGAAAGGCAGGGGGTGGGGGGGGTGGGGGGGGAGGGTGGCGAGAGAGAGAGTGTGAGTTGAAGGGGGAAAATAACTATCTTCACCTTTTTGGTTTTGAGTTGCAGAAATGATCCGCCTTAGGAAAGGTCGAGTTGCATGATCTGCGAAACTATTCCCATGAAAATTAAAACAGAATCAGTGGCTCTTTCAGTTCTATATTATTCTCATTTGCCCACAAAATATACAGTCAATTCACTTTACAATATATACCGTGAAGCGCCTGGAGACATCTCGAAGACTTGATAAGCCGCTATATAAAATGCAAGGTTTATCATATTATACGCCAAATAGGTCTCACTCATCACAAGCCTCCACAATGCAGTTTGTCTCTCACAACAACTTGTACGTTAATTTCTTGCATCGAAAGTAACCCCAGTGTTTGCATGTTAATTTATTAAAATTTGAAAGTACACCCCAGCGGAGAGAGAGGTAAGCGGTAAATAAGATTGAAGTAACCATTTTTTTTAAAACCCGACGACTGGGGCGAGCGGAGGTGGACACAGAACGCTGGGTGAAAACAATAGCTTTGCATGGGTCTCACTTTAAAGTGAAACTTCAAATAGCCCTATTCAAAAAAAACATACTCACCCATCAACTCTTAAGAGTTAAACTTTCCCTGCAGAGACAATATAAATTAAAAGTAACCCGATGTTGATTTTACAAGAGCTGTTTCAGAAGTAAAGTTTAGGATTCTCAAAGCAGCTTTATTTTTTAATACTAATAATTAATAATACTTGCATTTGATATTACCTTTCATATCGGAGGATGTCTTGCAAGTGTTTCGTGAGATTTATTGTAAAGTGTAATGACTAATAATGAATAATAGTAATAATAATCCTTGCATTTGATATAGCACCTTTCACATTGAGAGGACATCTCAAAGTGCTTCACAGGATTTTTCTGTAAAGTGTAATTAGTAACTGCGTATTTTGTAGGTAAATCGAAGGGATATTTTGGAAGGAATAAGATGTTTTGCAATTTAATTTGAAGAAAAGCAATCCATGGTGTGCATTTGGAAAATAAAGCAATTCGTAAAGTCGACTTAAGACCACAATTGTTTAATTTTTTTTAAGAACAAGCACATAATTAAAGAACATGGGAAAAGAGGGAATAGATAACTGAGTTAAGGTACATGATAGCAATTGTTGAACTTCATTCCAGCAGGACAGTAGTTTCAGGGTTTAACTCCTGATTTCTTTAAAGTTAAAGTATTCATGCAAAACCTAGAGTTGCTATTGTGTTTGGCATATATATACACCTCACTGCTGGAGTCCAGAGTAATAAAGCAGACGTGTCACTTTAAAGTGAAGAATTCCTCTTCTATTATGGAGGGAACAGAGGTTGTAACCGATTAGTGGGGGAGAATTTCCTGTACACAATAAATGACATTTATTGGAATATTATCCTTGCTCCACAAAAGGCGACCCACCTTGCCTGTACAGGGGTTCAAAATTTATTAAAATGAGACAAAAGACACGGGAACCGGTAAAGAAAGTAAGTCACAGTCATTCCTCTGAGTTCTACATACCTTCTTGCATGTGGTTTCTCATTTGTAAAGGGGCAGCAAGGTACCCTGCAGAGAGAGGGCGGGAGAAGAGGGTGTACTTGAGTGATGCTACTTTCTAGTATAAAGCATTCAGCTTCCGCGGTGGATGCTGCCAGGACTCTGGGTTGAGATTGTCGCTGGTGAGCTGTTTGCTGATCAGGTCCAGACTCCCCAGCCATTGACTGTAGACTGCTCCAAGTGACGGTGAGTGAGGATTATTTCGTGGCTGCGTTATGGGCAAAGCAGGAGGAGGAGAGGGAAAGCTGTTTTCCTCCTCCTTCCCCCTGCTGGATGTGCTACTACAGTAGTACTTTTCCATTTCCCAAAGAATATCGTGAGAAGTCTATTTTGTTGTGTGTGTGAGTGTGTGTCTGTGAAAGCAAGGAAGATTAAAATCCTGCCAGTATATTTCAGATCATTCGACAAAAGTAACACAATGTGCAAACACTTTCATAACATAACCGAGGTAGGTAACATGTAGCCAAGTGTATATTTTGCACTAAGTGTTTTCATCTTGATTTTCCCCTTCCCCAAAATCTTAAGAATGGTAGTTTATTTTGTCTCTGCTAATGGCTCAGTCTTCTGCCTGCAATGTGGTACTGATGTGTAAAGAAGAGGAACACACTTTGTCATACTGAGTAATATAGGTTTGATCCTTGATCTGCACTGAGTTAGTGGGTATCAGTGTGTTCCCCTTGACCTCAATGCCACCAGGACATGGAGATAGAAAATCCATCAGGATTTCCAAAAATGCTTATTACTTACTAACCTATGTTGGCATATTGTCTTGTCCCGGCAGGTGAAGCCGGGATTGAACTCTATTGTGATGCCCTCTCCTTAACCTCCTCCTCCTTTTTCCCAGTTAGTTTAATCTGTTGAAATTCACACATGAAGATTAGTTACCCAGTTAAAATACAAGAGGGTTGCTTACCTCCTGTCCTCAGACCATGTCCCAGCATG